TTAACGTGTCATACCCTTAAAGTTAAAGGTGAAAGTTTAGAAATTCTCGATACTACAAGGACTTTTCAGCAATTCATCTCAAAGTCAGCTACAAATACCCTGAACCTAAAGACGAAGGTGCTGAATCCTATTCTGTTTTCAATTAATCATCTCCAGATCTTCGCCGGAGAAAAAAGATGACCGGAATAGTTGAAATTTTGCCGAAGGAGTACGGCTACATCATTCTCAACCTCATTGCCTACTATTTCCTCAATCTGTATATGCAGATTCAGGTCGGCAGAGCTCGAAAGAAGTAATATTTCCAAACAAACTCTGTTTCACTTTCATTCTAATTGCCCTAATTTGAAATTTAACAAAATTTTCTGTTGAAGGTATAATGTTTCATACCCAGCACTCTACGCTACTGAAGCAGACACCAAGGATTACAAACTCTTCAACTGTATTCAGGTTTGTACATATCGATCGCTTGCTGATCTGTGAAAAATCCATCATTTTTCTTCGATTCGTTTGTGGGATTTTGAGGAATCTGAGTTTTGTTTGTTTGATTACAGAGAGGGCATCAGAATTCGCTCGAATCTCTGCCGATCTTCTTTGTTTTGATGGTTTTGGGAGGGTTTAAACACCCAGTTATATGTTCGTATCTGGGATTAGCATACACAGTTACTCGGTTTTTCTATTTCAAGGGTTACTCCTCCGGTGATCCTAAGGGACGTCTCCCGATTGGGTATGTGAATTGTAGTGATAAACCCTTGTCTGTTTGCTCTATACTTTTAACTATGATTCGATGATATTTAGATTAAGTTTCTTGTAAGGATTAAGGAATGATAATGGATCTGTAATCTGTATTCACTTTGGGTTTCATGTTCTGTTTGCAGAGGATTCAACGGTCTTGCATTATTGGGGCTTGTGATAGTCAATATCACGTTTGGGGTGAGTCTTGTAAAGGCATAAATCACAAGCATCATGAAGAAAAGAATATTCTTTGGGGCCCTTTCTTTTTTCTGGTATTTGATTAGAGGAAGAAGCAGTTTCATACTTTCATTTTGTAATGTTGTTGATGAGAAAAAAAAAATGATTGTTTTTACTTTTTAGTTGAGGCATTGGTCTTTAAGCTGTTGTAAACCGTAGTTTTAAGTGCCTTGGGAATATAGTTCCAAGCGCTTTCTGTAAAATGTAACACTTTCATAATAATGCATTTTGTTTGACTCATGAATCCTTGGATGTTATGTCTATTCCTGAGTATGTTCTTTTATCAATATAATCTGTTCAAAAAGAGGACTTCCATGACTACAACATAGATTTGTGTGAATTTAGTGTAAACTTATCAAAATCGGCTGTAAATCCATCACAAATCCTTAGAAAATCCGTCAAGAATCTGTTGGGAATTTGTCATAAAAGTCCTAATAAGTGTAAATTTAATATAAATTTGTCAGTGTAACCCTTTTAGAGATGGAAATTGTTGTCGAAATATGAATTTTTTTTAGTAGTACAGCCCTTAAAAAAATCATGCAACTCCTGATAAATTTGATATTGTTGGTTGTTTTTATAGAGGATGAGGTTCAATAGAGAACTATAATTAATCAATGAATCAATTTTTTTTCAACTTTTAGAACTTATTTTTTATTAAAAAAAAAAACAGAAATTCATAACTTTTTATCATTTTTCCAATGATATAAAATTCGATTTTTTTTACGTCAAATTCACAATGTGAATATTCGAAAATTCACAACGTGAATCCGGATTCACACGGTGAATCCGAAAAATATTTTTTACATTCACAATGTTAATATATGAATTTAGACATTTTTAGATTTTTTTTTCGATAAACAATAAGCTATAGAAATTGAAAAAAAAGATTTGGTTCCTTGAATAACCCATAAATATGGTTCTCTATTGAATTTTTCTCTTTCTTTCTATATATAATTCACGATACTAACAATTTGATATATTGGCAAGATGTTTAAGGGTATGATGTCACATCAAACGCAATAAAATATATGGAAATAAATTATATATTCAGATGATAAATTTATTATTTATCAACTAACAATAAAATAATTCATTTGTTTATTATTAATTAGATAAAAACAAATTAAATTGAATTAAAAAGAACAAATTAGTTTATTTAATAGCTTAGATAATGAATCACTTCCTTGGTTAGAAAATAGCGTTGACAGAACGAGGTGGTTACCTAACAAAGCAAATTTTTCGATTTCAAACATAATTTTTTCAAACGATTTCAACATAATTTATTCAATTTTGGTAATTTGAAATACAATTTTTTCGATTTCAAACACAAGATTTTTCGCAGAAGTCAGAACGGAAGGAGTTCCACAAAAACCCTCTGTGGAGAACTCTTCGTCATTTTCTGAAAACGTCAATTTCTTGGTGATTTTTTTTAAACCCCTCCTATTTTTTTGTTATTTCACAAATTTACCTCGACTATCTAGAGTCTAGACTATGCACCAACATGCCTCTGCCGGCGGAGACTTAACTGATTATGTTATCGTGTCGCATGTGCGGAAAAAATAATATTTATGCATGAGTGGTGGTCATTACCAAGAATTGCATTAAGTAAAAATCAATTCGACCATTCATTTTTCCATCTATTGCATTTTCAACCCCTATAGTTAACCGGCTTTTTATCTATTGATATTATTGAATGTTACTTTTAGGGGGAAAAAAAAGATTATAATTTGGTATCCTGTTTATCTTCCAATGCTAAGGTGGGGCGACAAAAATGAGAAAACGAACTAAGAACATAATTCAGATTTTACCAAATGTTATAATCTTATTATTAGATGGTTAAATATGCCAACTGGTAAAAAAAATTGCATCTTTTAAATGAAATATAACACATTCTCACTAATTTTTAATAGCCATTTAGATTTTGGTTATATTTGCTAGTTATTTAAATAGAGTAATAATTTCATCTACTTCTACTATAATAAATAAATATGATTTTGACACATGTCAATCTTTAATGATTTTTTATACTTATTATTTTGTAATATTTTTTAAATAAATAATATCCACATGTCAATTTATGATTTTTTTTTCAATTTATAAAATTAAAAAGTCACATAATACATATACTTATATATGTAAAATATCAAATGTAATAAATATTATACTAAATTGCAATTAATATATTTCTTCATTTCTTACAGACCGGCTCTATGTAGAAGTTTTTTAAGGTAGGGTTTAGGACCCCCAATTCTAAGGGGTCCCATATTCTCCAAAGTCCAAAGGTTTAGTCCATTAAAAATTTCAATCCAGTAACCACAAAATGAATAAAGAAGAATAATAAATCAACGATGGCTACACTCATGAAGCTGAAAAGACTTTGCATTCTTCTACCGATTCTGACACTTTTTTTAAATGATGCATCGAATGCTTCCTCTGCTTTCAGTAAAAATACCAAAAGCCTATTTTCGAGGAGCATTATGGAGCAAGGAGCAAGGCAGTAGATAAGATAGAAGAAGGGGTCAGCCTCCCGGTGGAGCAGAGGATACGGTTAGGATAACGAACTTGAAACGCGGAGTCCGAGCATCCGGCGAGCGAGTGGTTAGTGGCCATGGATGGGGGATCACTTGTAGGAATGACATAATGCTAATCCATGTTCCACACGGCCAAGGAAGCATCGGTTTTTAATCTCATTATGACTTGGTCGTTCATAAGAGATTCTTTCTCGATCAGAATAGTGGAATGGAAGGCACTACAATGAAATAAAGACTTTTTTAGGTATAGGGATAAATCCGTACAATAGTGCGAGGACGATTCTAATGGAAACACAATTCATTGGATTCAAGCCCTTCTTGAAAGAAGTCCTCTAACTAGATTTCTGCGAAATATTCATATCATCCGTTTTCGATTTCCAAGTATAGTAAAGGCCAAAGGGCTCCAAATTTTTGGTTCGCTTAGAGCCCCCAAAATGGTTGGGCCGCCCATGATTCCTTATTTCAAAATTTTATTTTAAAAAATATTTATTATTACATTTTAATATTTTATTTTCTTTAATCAACGTCCGTGTAATGCACGAGTGTTTTATACCTAGTTAAGTTATATATACAATCAAAAGTTGCATTTATCTCGAAACATAAGAAAACGTTTAATGATTGATTTAGAGAAATAACTTACATAACTATAATCGTTATTGCATGTATATCTTAAACACACATTTCATTATCCTGAAAATTTTCAAAATACCTTTCTTTTGTATTATAATCTCAATGTTTTGTACACAAGAAGTATAATACAAATACCATTAATAAATAATAACATGTCAAAAAACGGTTATATTTTATTGAACTAGTATATTCGATTTCATGACAAACAAATTATTGTCTTCATAAATGTATAAAAAAAAATATAGAGTAAATTACATGAATGGTTCCTATGGTTTAGGGTAATTTGCGTGTTTGGTCCCTAACTTATTTTTTTAACTCGGAAGGTCCCTACTGTTTGTTTTTGTTACGTGTTTGGTCCCTGTTTTACCTAAATACACTATATTTCCCTTGATATTTTAATTTATTTAAGTAAACACACCCCAACCCCACCCCATTCACCGTACTTTACCCACCCCATATTTTTTCTTATTTAAATAATAATTATTTTAGGTAAGATAGGGACCAAGTGCGTAACAAAAACAAACTGTAGGGACCAAACACGTAACAAAAACAAACCGTAGGGACCTTCCGAGTAAAAAAATAAGTTAGAGACCAAACGTACAAATTACCCCAAACCATAGGGACCATTCGTGTAATTTACTCAAAAATATATTTAGGAAAGTGTGTAGTAGTGTATAACTATATATTATGATATATACAATACTATTATTATTATTATTATTATTATTATTATTATATTAGTCCTTAAAAATTTATAGTTTGATAAAGTTTTTGAGTTTTGACATTTAGGATTGCAACAAAAAAGAATGCAAGGGTTAACATGTAATACTCGAGAAGCCAAAGGTGAAAGTTTAGTACATCTCCATACTACAGGGACTTTTCAGCAATTCATCTGAAAGCATGCTACAAATACCCTGAACCAGAAGACGAAGCTGCTGATAAGTGATAACGTCGTTAACAGAATCCTTACCAGTTCTCAAATAATCATATCTTAATCGGAGCAACAAGATGGCCGGAATAGTTGTATTTTTACCGAAGGAGTACGGCTATATCATTCTCACCATTATCGCCTACTGCTTCGTCAACCTGTATATGCAGCTTCAAGTCAACAAAGCTCGAAAGAAGTAATATTTCCATACAAACACTCTTTCCCTTTGATTCTAACTTCCCTAATTGGAAATTTAATAACTTTTTCAATGAAGGTATCATGTGTCATACCCAACACTCTACGCCACTGAAGCTGATACCAAAGATTACAAACTATTCAACTGTATTCAGGTTTGTACATATCGCTTGCGGATTTATGAAAATACATCATCTTTCTTCGATTCGCGTAAGGGATTTTGAGGATTCTGAATTTTGTTTGTTTGATTACAGAGAGGGCATCAGAATTCGCTCGAATCCCTTCCGATCTTTTTTGTTTTGATGGTTTTGGGAGGGTTTAAACACCCAGTTATATGTTCGTGTTTGGGATTAGCATACACAGTTACTCGGTTTTTCTATTTCAAGGGTTACTCCTCCGGTGATCCTAAGGGGCGTCTCCCGATTGGGTATGTGAATTCTACTGATAAACCCATGTCTGTTTGCTTTGTACTTTTAACTTTGATTTGATGATATATGCACATACGATTTCATCGATTTTGTAAGGAATGATGATGGATCTGTTTTCACTTTCGTTTGCTTGTTCTGTTTGCAGGGGATTCAACGGTATTGCATTACTGGGGCTTGTAATACTCAATATTACGTTCGGCATAAGTCTTCTCACGGCATAAATCACAAGAATCATGAAGAATCAAGAAAGAAAGCAGATTCTTTGGGGGACCCATTGTTTTTCGTGGTATTTGGTTAGAGGAAGAAGCAGTTTCATTTTGTACTGTTGATGAGAAAAAAAAAATGATGGTTTTTGTGTGGCAAAAAATGAAGGAAAGAGAATTGTGATAAGGGTATATTAGTCTTTTTAAAACTCGATCGGGAACCATAATCGAAACAAATCCAAACCTCAAGAACTTTCCAAATGAAAAACGAAAGAGTAATGGACCAAACACATAGACTTCTTTAAACCATAAGGACCATTTATGTAGTTTACTTTAAAATTTAAGTGATAAACCGAAGTGATTAGTGGTTACAAGGTCTTTTGAACCGGAATAAAAATGGTAAATAAAATCATTTTGTCCACGTCAAAACCCATCCCATGACTCACGACGAGAGATCAATTGCAGAATACTGACAGTATTTCAGACATATCAGTATTTGAATCGTTTAAACCTGGATCTCTTGTATGAAATTTCACTGCTCAACCATTAGACTTCGGTTGCCTTGACAAGTTTAAAAAACAAAGAGCAATGGAAAATATGGAACGCTTAGGAAAAAACGGAGTAACCCTAAAAATGATTCTATTGCTGATTTTTTTCCAAGAAAAATATAAGAACCAAAAGGAAAGTTTTAGCTGTTTTTTCCGATATTTCCTCCTAAACAAGGAAATATAAGGTCATAAGCATTGTTGACTCGATATTGTGATCACCACATCCATCAAGGTGACAATATCAATAGTTAAACTTGGAAAAAGGAAAGAAAAGTATTACAAAATCTATAACTATGCAAACTATCCGTACACGTACTAGCTTCAAATGATGAAAGAGAGTCTTCTTCTTGCTACCACCATATTCATCATCATTGCCACATTTATAGTATCTCTTTCAAATAAAATCAACATCACGTTATAACGAATTTTGTTAGAATTCTCTATTGAATCTTTCTATTGCTTGTGTTTTTTTATTCATCAATCTTGAGAAGATGTTGTGTTTGGGGAAAATATGCATGATATGCACATTCTTGATAGTGTTGGGAATTACAATCGGCTTGTTATTCGGTTTTGGCGTATTCAGTGATGGATTTCATAAGATCAAGAACGTGTTTCATTATTCTCAATCTCATTCGTATTCACATGTTGTTTATGGAAGGTCTTTTCGCTCCCCTCCCCCGTTCTAATGTAAATTGTCATCAACAAAAAGTTGTTTAGAATATATGAATTCGGTTCAAAATTCCGGGTATTCGGTTTTGGGAACGGATTCATATATTGTCTTTTTTAATATAGATACTCGATGTATTTGGAAATGTGAATTATATATTTTGAAGTATCTAATTTTAGTTTGTAATTATTAGAATATTTGAGTGAAATAGTTAGAGACACTTAATGGAAGTACATGTATAATGATCTTTCTTTATATGTGTTTCAAGTATCAAATAAATAAGTTTGTTCATACCTATTGGCTTGACCGCTTGTAATCCCTTAAAATGACGAGTAAATATCATCATATGGTGTTGAGTGAAACACAAAATACATAAAACCAGTAAGTGATTAGATTGTTTAAAAAATATGTACATTGAAATTTTGGTATATGGAAATCTGGATACTCAAACTAGTATCCAAAAATTTCAATACTAATTTGGATATCATTTGTCAAGATTCAGTATCGCAAAATTTAATATATCTACTCTACTGAATCTCATAAATTTCCAATATTAGGTTGGGTATCAAAATTCGATATTAAATTTTTTTCATATATCTAATATACTCAAATGGTTATAATCTATCGAAGGACTTGTCATGGTTGTTGATGTAACAAGGTGGGAGAGAGAGTTTAATTAGGTATGTACCTACTTAAATTTGGATTTAGTTACAATTATGTTAAGGGATAGCCCATGTTATCTTTTAAATTTTCCATCGTAGTGTAAATAGCTTAACAAATTTTATGACATACTACAGTTTTATATGTTTATATGACGTTTAGATAGAATTATTTAAGGAAGTGTTGATTTAAAACATGAACATTTAAATTGACATAAGAAAGAAGAGCTATTTGTGCGCTACTACACATACTTACTTACTCATAGTATTGTGCATGTAAGTCCTATCATTAGCTTTTAGGCTATCTCTAGCGGAACAATTGGCAAAGAATTCATGCGGGAACAATCTCTCTATGTGGAATCCTGCGTCCGCCTTCTCCAATCCAAGGACTTAGTGAATTCGCGGAAAGTAAAGAATACCTAGCATTCATGGGGGCGTTGAAAGATGACAAAGTGGGCAGCTGCACAGGGTTTAAGTTTTTTATTATATATTATATATATATATATATATATATATATATATATATATATATATATATATATAAAAACTTATAATAACAACAGGGACTCTTTTTCTCTAACTCGTCCTGGGTATTTGAGGATATTTACATCCCTAGGACCGGTCATACGCAACGTAGAATCAATAGAAAAATCTATATTCAAATGTTTTTTTTCTATAATTAATGCATAATATCAATTTAGAAGCCAAAAAATTTGTGAAAAAAAATAGATTTCTATATTTTACCATTATATCTACTCACAAAATATCAACGACAGTGATATTCTCATAAAATACAAAAAAAATTCCACAATTTCCAATTGACCGACACTAAACAGTCAAATACAACTAATAACAAAAATCAACCGAAGAGTTATCTCAATCGAATGTCATGTCAAAAAACAAAGATCTATCGAAGGTTGTTAGTTGCAAATAGAATTGAATTAGGCGTATTAGATGGCCTAGAAACATGGTCCTTGCAACAAGTCAACACAATTATGCTTAACTTTAATAAGATATGGATGTTTTGTCATACTGAATATTATTTATTAGAAGTTGTTATTTGCAAATAGAGTTGAATTATGCGTACTATAAGGCCTAGAAGCATGGTGTTTGTGACAAGTCAACACAATTCTGCTTAATTACATAGGATATAGATGTTTTGTGTAAAAAATGAATCTTTTTGTTAAAAAAAGTACAATGAAGTAAGTTTTTAATTCAATAATAATTACATAAACATCCGCTATTTTTCTATTTTGATCCATAAAATTTCTTCATACCTTATATTTTCATTAAATAATTTATCAGATCAAACACTAAAATTATTTTTAAAGCATAAGGAATTATCAAATCAAAATAAATCATTTGAACATAGCAACCTTAATACATGAAGTTGAACAATTATCTCATTCATGCTTGTTAATATTTTACAATGATCCTACAAGTGAAAAATTATCCCAACCACACTGCGATCCCATTCTAAAGCAAGGTTTTAGGATTTTAGGATCCCGACTAAATCGTAAGTAGATATGTCATCACCTTTTTAGTCTTTATTCTATAATAAGGTTTTGTAGTATTATGAATCTTACTCGAAGTCTTTATTTCTACTAAATCCAATGCATAGTCTAAAAAGTTTTCCAATTAGATCAAATCAAACTTCAAAATTTTATCCATTCAATTCGAAATCGAACATTACAGATCATCAGAATCCTAATAGAGTAGCAAAACTTCATTTATTAAGAGCACAACAACATTCATGTCATTTACTTTATAGTTTGTTCATTTAGTTGTACATGATCACAATGATATTGTTTCTTTTTGTGATTAAGATATTTTGTGTCTAATTTTGACAATTTTCATTATTACATCTACAAAAATTATTGTTACTGTCTAAGATATTAAATTTGATTTTCCCACCGACACCTTAAGCAACATCAAGTTATAATTGCAAACGCAAAAACAGTACATTACAATCTTCTTATTTTTAAGATGGTTCCATTAAATGACTTGTATTTAATAAGATGGTTCCATTAAATGCTTAGTTGGTTAAATAATAATGCTTATTTTTAAACCCAAGCCCATCTTATTTTTAAGCAAAACCTTTGTATTTTTCTTACCTGAAAATACAACCTTTAGTTCATTACATTAGGGAGTTTTTAAGTTTTTAATCAAAATAAAAGAGTAAATTATATAAATCGTTATTATGGTTATCACGTGTCAACTCTATCTTCTTCTTTTTTCACTTGGACCATCGTTATAGTAAAAACATAAAATGACTATATTGACCATGCACTTACCTATCTATATTTTTATTATTGTATTTTATATTTGTTATATGATAACTATTATTAAACTATTAAAACTCATCTTTACCCCTCCCAACATTCAACATTATCGTCCACCACAAAAAGCTTGTAACAACACGAATTCCAAATTCACACCACAAAAGTTCTTCAATTTTCAAGTCATCATACATATACGCAAACAACTATTTCATTGATGCCAAGATCAAATTTACAACAAAACATCCAGGAGCATCCATTACAAGACATATAATACCCTACTTAGAGTACTTGATTTAGTATTCTTAGTCCCAAAGTTACTTACATGATAACCCAAAAGATTTGCAAAAGTTGTGAACATATGCTTATACAAAATGAACACTTAGTATTATTGTTAGAACTTAGAAGCTTAAGCTAGCTCCTTACCCTTAGCAGAGCTTGTACCTGAAATTTATAATAAATTTAACAAATTATAAGTTTTGAAGCTTAATGAGTAACCTATGAGAATTTTGATGATTTGGAACTTGTTATATTGGGGGAAAGGAGCCAATAGTTAAAAGTAATTAAATAGATAATATAAATCTTCAATTTTACCTTCTTTTCATAGTTGAAAATTGAATAGAAGACTTATGATTATGAGAAATTGGGTCAAAATCATTCAATGTTCGATTACATTTACATATAAATCATGGCTAACAAAAACCTGAATTTCAAAAATCTGTTTCAACAGGATTCTAAAGGAGAGGATTTGTGCGAATAACATACCTTATCTTTTGGAAGAAATCCAAGCACCATTAATCCAGTTTTGATGAACCCTTAAAAATCCCAAGGGGAAAACAATCTCTTCATTTGAATTTTCAAAATGCACAAAGTAATTCGACCCTATTTTCCCACTAATTTTTCCGGCCCACCACCCATCCTTCTCGTAGGCGTCAACAGCGTCGCCCAACGAAAATCCAGTTACCGGAATCTGTGGAGGAAGCGGCTGGATTTGATCGGCGGAGACCACCTCTCTCAAGGGCCCGAAACCGTCTTCTTTCAGGAGAGTTCTGTACTGGATAATGTACTCTTTTTTGGAAAGCCTAGCGATGATGTTTGCTGTGTAGTATGAACCCTCGAACCCCTCTTCGATGCTTGAAATTTCGACTCTGTCGCCTCTTTGAAACGCCATTGTTGTCGACGATGATGATGCTTTTTTCTTCATATCGGCAACAGAAAGTTTCTGGGGTTTCGTTACTGAAAATTGAAAGGAATGCTTAAAATTCAAAACATGATCATGAGCTACAGCCTATAATAAATTGAAGAGAGCAGATAAAATTTTTCTTGACGTACATTTGAACTAGAAAAAAGAAAGCAAGGACGTTTCTCTTGATCGATCTTGGAGACAATCCCCAGAAAAGCAAAATATCCCTAAAGCTGAAGGTACGCGATTTGTAGTAATCCTATATGCCTCTTGAGTCTTGACCAAACTAGAGATTTGATGTCTACTCTAAAAGATGATTTTATTTCTTATGGCAAATAATATTTGCATAGTATGTAACTTTATAATTTTAATAAAAGTACATAAACCACATTATTTTTGGGCTAATCAATAGCTAAAAATAGAAATCATGAGTCACAGCGTAATCATTTTGTGAATTTTTTTATAACTCTCAAAAAAAAGAAAAAAAAAATCATCCGAATACATATTCCACAATGCAAGCCAATCACTCGTGAAGATTTTGATTTTTTTGCAAAATGAACAGTTTTGCATTTACTAATTACTAGTCTAACTACGATATGATTTTACAATATATTTGCTTTAATGTTGTAGTTTTTTCTACGTTAGAACATCTATAATGATAAATCTATAATATTACTTAAAAATATTATCACCATAGTTGCTACTATAATACCTTAAAAAAAATCAAGTGTATGTAAGTCGTCAAGTGCTCTTGATGTGGTTATCTTTTAAAAACATTTACATGTGGAATTCGGTCCCGAAGTATGATCATAGGTTTTACAATTTAAATTCGAATTAGGTACAGGAGCGGTCAACATAGTATCATCAAAAAAGTTTAGGGATATATACACTAAAGTCTCAATATTTTCAACGATTTTACAAGAAAGTCGTAAGCTTTAAATTTTTTTTTTTTTTATAGTAAAGTCCTAAATTAGACTCTAGGGTGTTAGGAGCCTATGTTGAGGGATGTGTTTTCTTGTTTGATTGGGGCTTGGAGGTCTGAGTCACGGCCCGAAGACTTGGTAGGATCAGTTAAGTCTTATTGGGATCGATTTGTGTTTTGTTAGGCTGCGAGTGTTGTTGTTGGTTAGTGGATCGGGGGTAAGCTCGAGTGTGTTCGTTAGTGGATCGGGGGTAAGCCTGGGTACTGTTGTTAGTTAGTGGATCGGTGGTAAACCTGAGTGTTGTTTTTGGTTAGTGGATTGGGGGTAGCCTGAGTACTGCTTTTGTTTAGTAGACCAGGGCTGAGCCCGAGTGTTGACAATAGATAGCCAAGCAGAGCTATCAGAACCGAGTATAAGCGTGGCCTAGTTTAGTATGCGACCAGTTGGTTTTCGTCACATTGGTGCATTTATGTGCAAGATTAGCATGAAGACGTTTGGCATAGAATGTCTTGAGCTGATCAAATCTACAGATTTCCAGACAGTTTGGTTGATGTGAGGGCTTGCATCATGAAGTAGAAGCGAGAAATGATTTCGAGGACAAAAACTAATTTAAGTGGGGGAGAATTTTAACATCTTGTTTCCTATCATTTCTTATTTCAAGGTCATGGGCTGAAAGTCAATTATGTAAAGGCTTTGGGCCTTAAAGAGGCAAATTTTAGTCTTTGTGGAAGGAGGTAATCATGGTTAAGTGATTTAACCCTTGAATTGTGTTTTGGGCCGAAGGGTAGAAAGCGAAAAGTGATAGGTCGGGTTCTTGCATAATATATGGATTTTTATTTGATAAGTTTTTAACCCAAGATATTTAGATAATATTGCGGGGCTCTTCAATACCTTTATGTGGATATAAAGATCGTCGAAAACGGATTTGGAATGAAGAAGTTATGAGGGTTTTGGGTTTAGCCTAGTACGCTAGGCGTATAGGGTGTACGTTGGGCATACTAAGCAAGGATGATCGCGGAGATTCAACCTGGTACGTTGGATGTACCAGGAGTACGTTGGACATACGCGATCAGAACCCAAACCCTAATTTTGGGTTTTTGAGCCCTATTTTTGCTCCTTAACTTCCCCCAAACCCCTTTCATTCTCATCCTCTACCTCTCCAACATCGTCCCTTGAAACCCCAACCCTAGTTTGATCCTTGTGAGCAAAAGAATGTGTTTTTGAGTGCTTTGGAGTGTTCTTGGTGCATCTTGGAAAAGAAAGAGCTCATTGGAGAAGTGTTTTTTGCATTGAAGCTTGTAGATCCAGGCCTTGTTCACCTTAATCTTTCTTCTGGAGGTACAAAACTGGAATCTTGATGATGCATTTGTTAGATCTAGCTAGTTTTGGGTGTTATGAGCTTTTGGTCACTTTAGTGCATAAAGTTTAGATCTTGAAAGTCGTGACCTTGTTATGAATAAATTTGGAAACTTTATCCATCTAAACATCATATTGATTTAGTTCTGAAGGTTAGACACTTAGACTTAATGGATTAAGTTGATAGAGATGCACTTTTGGTCCCTTTGAGACTTAAAGACTATATGTTGGTTGTTTGGATCTAGGGATGGCAAAAGAAACCGAACCTGTTGGTGAAAACCGAAAACTGACATATTAGGGTCGGGTTTGGGGTCGGTTAATCGGGGTCGATATCGGGTTTAGTATGCTTTTAGTAAATTTTCACGGGTTTGGTTACGGGGACGGTAAACAAAATACTCGTCCCAATTACCCGAAACCGAAACCGAAACCAAAACCCAAACCCGTTACCTGAAACCGTTCATATATATATATATATATATATATATATATATATATATATATATATATATATATATATATATATATATATATATATATATATATCCTTGGGTTATCTTCTTTTTTGTGAATGATTTAAAGATAATTTCTCGAAATAGTTTCCTGCTTATTTGTAGTGCTAGTGTTTGATATTTTTTATTCATAATACTTAGAGTAATAGTGATATAATGGTTTATGAATGCTAATATTTTTATTGTTTTTTTTTTTGCCACTATTAACCACTTATGTATCAAAACAAATATGTCTGCTCTTAATATGAATTTATGCTTGCATCACTAAGTCTAATGGTTTTGTATTCTCAATGTATCAAAATTATTCTTAATTTGAATGTTAAATGGGGACCCCCGTTACCCCCGTTGGGATACCCGCAGACTCGATAGTGTTTGGTAAACAGGTACCCGTTGGGAATCAGGTCGGTGATGGGATCAATTTTCATATTCGGGGGTGGGGGTAGGATTACCAAAACCCGTCCCAAACCCACCCCGTTGCCATCCCTATTTGGATCATCCTAATGGATAAAGTTGGAAAATTTATCCATTATGAAGCTATTAGGAACTATAAAAATATGATTGTGGTCCTTCCATTCCTTCCATGCAAGACTTATGATGTCTTAATGGATTAATAAGTTAGGGTTTTAGCTTTTGGATCTTTCTAGCCATGGAAAGTCATAAAGGTGGAAACTTTATGACTTAAGTCGATGTTCTGAGCCTAGATCTGATCTTTGGACAAAAGACCTTAATGGATAAAGTGCTTAATAGAGGAGTGAGGACAGGTCGTATACGTTGTGCGTACTCAGCAGCCTTGGACTTTAACTTTTGTTGACTTTCGTTGACCGTTGACTTTTTGACCTAGTTTGACTTTGGGTCAAACTTAAGGGATTTGGACTGTTGATTAAGGTTTTACCTGGTTGTGATGATTATTGGATTCACGGGAGCAAGTAGTGCAGAAGGGAGCGTATTGCAGTGTTTCACGGTTCTTTGATTCAGGTGAGTTTTGCCATATTGTACCCGTGGGTCGAATGCACAAATACCGGCCCACTAGTTTTGCTTATCTTTTAGTGGAGGGATGCCATAGGGACTATATATAGTCATGTAGGATAGACTGATGACTCTAGAGTAGAATCACCTGTTCGAGTGTCTATCTCACGTCTGAGTATATACAGCTATGCATTCCTTGGATTATTGGTATTTAGTATGTTATCGTGTTGTAGTGATCTATTAGATTTGTATCATGGTATATAGGATGTTGCTATATTGTAGTGAGATGTTAGACCTGCATCATGGTATATAAGAGATTGTTGTGATATAGTGATCTGCTAGATCTGTGTATATATCCTTATATGATAGGAAGTTGTAGTAGTGGTATATTTGTTATCATCCAGTGGAGTGCCCTAGGGGTTGTATGTAGTCGTGTATGATAGCCTGAGAACTCTTGATTTAGGCTTTCTTGTCTATTCCTTGTTTGTTTGTGGCTCTAGAGTAGGATCATCTATTCAGGTGGCTATCTCACCTCTAGTTACTTATGGTTACGCACTTCAAGGAGGTTTGCTAGTAGCAGGATAGTGTGCTAAGAGAGGAATATTAGGCGGTAGTGAGTTGTATGATTGATGTTTTCCTGTATTATGTACCTACTTGATCCTTGATTGTTTATATGTCGACATATGGTGGTAGTGGGTTGAGGCGGTCTTGCTTTGTGTTGTAGTCCAAGATACCCGGTGCAGGTAGACTATAAACGGTTGGGTTGAGGCGGTAGGCCAACAAACCCTGGGTATTCCATCCTAATGGCTGATTGGACCCGTTACATGTTGGCATTCCAGTCTGTGGACTGACTGGGTTGGGGTATTCCAACCTGATGATTGTAGGCTGTTATGCATGATTGTATGCTTATCATATGGGGTATTTTGGGGGATACTCAATAAGCTTTGTGCTTAACCAGTTGTTTATTGTTTCAGGTATCATCAGTTATCATGGGAAAGCAAAGGCGTGGTTGTACACATTCATCAGCAGCATTGAAGATTTTGCGCTTCAATATTACTATGATTTTCAATAAACATGTGTTGGAATAAACAATGTTCTTAATAATGGATTTATAATTAGGAAGTTTTACTCTAATAAAAATGAAATTTTTTTGTTACTAAAATGGGACATTACACAAGCATTTCAGAACGAAACTAGAACCAATATCAAGAATCTGGAACAACAGGTGTCTCAACTTGTCACTTCTGTGGGTCAGCTAGAATCTCAAGGAAAGTTATCGGGGCACATTAAAAATAACCCATAGCACAATCTGAGTGCTATTTTCTTGGGAAGTGGAAAAGTTATGAAGGTCCAAGCGTATCTAAACCAGAAAAAGAAGCTGGAGAAGACTATGAAGAAGTTATGGTTGAAGAAGAAGATGAAAAAGATAAAGAAACAGAAGTTGAAGAAAAATATGAAGAAGTTTTGGTTGACAAAGATAATGAAAAAAGATGAAGGAAAAGAAACCCTAAGACCAGCCAATCCAAATCTAAGAGAGTACAAGCCAGTTATACTATTCCCATCCCGGTTGAAGAATACCAAGCGTAAGTGAAAGGATGAGGATATCATGTAAATCTTTTGTAAGGTTGAGGTAAATTTTCCACTTTTAGATGTTATCAAACACATCCCTCATTATGCCAAATTTTTATATGAATTATGTGTTTCAAAGAAAAGATTTAAAACTAACGAAACATTAAACGCTGGTGAAAATATTTCAGCTATTTTGCAAAAGGGTTTACCTCCAAAGTGCATGGATCCGAGAGTTTTCTCGATTCTTTGTAAATTGGGCGACCTTAATTTCCCAAAAGTCATGCTTGATCTAGGAGCTTCAGTCAATGACCTTCCCTTTTCTATTTTTGAAAAATTAAAATTGAGGACTTTAAAAACGACCAAGAGAATTATCGAGTTGGCTGATCACTCGATAATACACCCAAAAGGTGTACTGGAGGATGTTCTGTCCAAGTGAATAATTAGATCTTTGCTGCTGAATTTTATATTCTGGACATGGATAATTTGGA